CCCCCCCCCCCCCCCCCCCCCACTCCAGAGTCTTATCTCCCTCCTGTTCAAATGGCTTCCCACTGATTGCAATGGAAGGGATTATTCTTGACTATGTTGCAGTATTCAGACCATACTGGGTTAAACCGGCTTTGGGGAGGTTGATCAGACACTTCACTGTGGCCATGGGTGAGACCACCATCCCTTATGAATGAAGCCATATAATTATGAGCATATGGCTTTAATCATGTGCTCTGGACTCACATGCCTTCTCCATACACCAATGGAAGAAACTATATACCAACTTGATTTCAACATGGGTGGTGGTACCACATCCCTCCCCAGCAACAGCCCTGGAAAAATGACCTCCCTCCTTAAAGAAAAGTTTGTTTCAAAAAATGTCCTTTGTCTGTAATGGAATCCAGAATGATACCAAGTTTTGGGTAAGTGAGCAATCTCAGTGGAATACCCTTGCAGAAAATGCTTGGCCCTAAGTTTTGTGTTACTGCTGTAGATTATTTCAGAGGATTTCCCAAGAGTTACCCAATTTCTTGAGGGTTTGCACTGGGTCATTTATAGGCACTGCATATGCCTCATATCCCTACTCCTAGAAAGGCTACTATATTTTATCATTTGTTAATTTCTTTGTTCATTTGTTTCCTTTTCCACCAGCTTCACTTCTTCCTTCAAGGCATTTCCTTTAACAACTCAGCAGGAGAAACTGTGTCCTTCAGTGTGGATGGGGAAGTGGAAAGTGACCTTGACATCACCAACCTGCTCACATTCCCGAATCACACTTTCCAAAGGGTGAAAGTTGGAAGGGTCAATCCCAAGGCTGTGGGAGGAAAAAAAATCACTCTTAATGAGGATGCGATTGTGTGGCATCGAGCTTTGAACCAGGTGCACAATCTAGATTCCTTCTTTCATTGTTGGGATGGGTGGCATACAGTAGGTCTGGAAATCATAGGAGCATAAAACTGCAGAGCTGGAAGGACCATCAGGATCATCTATTCCAACCTTCTTCAATGTGCAGAAAAGCCATTTCAACTGCCATGAGTAGTGGCTGGCTAATCTTTTCTTCAAAACCTCTAGAGATGGAGAGTGAGATGTTTTGATGTTTATCTTGTCCATCTCCTTTCATATAGAAGCAATGCCCTGATGAATAAGAGCCCTGGACCATCTAGTCCAGCAGTTTGCTTCACAATGGCCAACCAAATGTGCAAGGAACCCCACTTGCCTCCCACCGGATGGCCTTCAGAGGCAGTCACACTGCAATCAAAGCTTTTAGGAAAGAACCAACTTCTATTCTCATTTTTTGTCCCATAATGTTCAGTGATCTCACAATGGTTGAAATGTGTCTCCATGTCCTGGAATTAAACACAACTTAGAGGAAGCAAAGGGGAATATTCTCATAATTTTGCAGTCTGATAATTGCAGTTATTTTTGTGAGAGTGCTCGTCAAGTTCTAAATTCAGTCACTAATTTGGATTGTTATCTTCTCCTAGAAAAACCTCATGCAATTTCCCCCTCCTCTAAGATGGGTGACTCTTTTTAAACTGTTCCTTTCAACTAAATGAGGATTAGCAAGTCCATGAAAGTTAAGGAAAAGTGTCCACACTCAATAAACATCTTGTTTTACTATTTTAATATAAAAAGTGTTGACCACAATCCCTCAATAAAAGTATACCATACAGCAATTTTAGCATATGTGGCAATATACATAGGTATATTTTGATCCTAAATTTCCTTTACATTTATGGATAGGTGGCCCCCCATTCGGCATGTAATGAATATTGCCAACCAGGTTATCAGAAGAAGAAGAAGGAAGGGAAGAAATTTTGTTGTTATGACTGTGCTCCTTGCCCAGAAGAAAAGATTGCAGCCCAGAAGGGTAGGTAATGCTGTGTAGATAATGTTCCACACAGTGACCATCATTTTTTTAAATATAATTTTTATTAAAATTTATGGGAAATTTAAAAACTACAGAAACACAAAAAGAAAAAGGAAAAAAAAAAAGAAATATGAAAGAATAAAAGAAAAAATGAAAGATAACAAAAGAGAAAGAAAAAGAAAGATATCTAACCAAGCGACTTCCGAGCTTCTTTACAGCAGTTACAGACATAGTAGTTACCATCTCCACCCTTCCAAATTACATATTTTGGTTCCCTTCTTCCCATAAAGAAATCCTTTTAATCAATAAGACCTGAAATCACCAGTTCATTTTTGTGCATTTTCAGAAAAAAGTTCATAAAGAGTTTCCAGTCTTTCATAAAAGTAATTGTTGTCCTCTCCATAATCAAACAAGTCAGTTTAGCTATTTCTGCAAGCTCTGTCATCTTCACAATCCATTCCTCCGTTATGGGTAATAACCATAAATTTTTTGTAAAATGATATTCAGATAAAATCTCCATCAAGTCAAGCTCCATCAAGTCCCTTGTCCCTTCATGGACACATCCATGTACTTTTCTTTGTGACAAAATGGAAACAGTTTGCCATTGTGTAGGGGACACTGAGATTTTGGGGTGGGATATCTTCCAGGCACTAACCAAGGCCATCAAGGGATTATCAGATAGCTGGACAAACTTTCCAACTTTGTTATAATTGCTCAAAATGTAAGATTATAGGATTCTGCTAAAGGGTTTGAACTATTCTAAATTCTAAAGATGAGGAATGAGTCATTCAGAATGTGCACTTCAGACATCCAAACCAGATATGAAGTATGTCAAAACTACTTGTGCATTAGATTTAATCTACATTTTAGAAGTTCATTGTGGTAGTTCTCTGATGAGTACTTGGCAGAACTGTGAATGAATGGAGGGATGCACGGATTCTTTTCTACAATCTTAGACCCTCAACCTATTGTCTTCCAGGCATGTTGGACAAACAGGGTCTAATCCATCCTCATCCACAGAAGTACCGGGGATGACTTTGGCACAGACTCTCTTTCTCCACTCGGGAGTCAATGTGGTGTAGTAGTGAAGGTCTTGGACTAGCTGGGGGGAAACCAATTCATTTGTGTCAGTTACTCTCCCTCAGCTTATCCTGCATATCAGAGTTGGAATTGTGGGGAAAAAAAAAAATGTGAGAATAGAGTATGATATATGCCACTATGAGATCCTGAATGAAAGGTGGGATATAAATTTAATAAATAGCATGATTTGATTTCCTGCTCTCAAGACTTGATATCATGAACATAGGAGCTGATTAATAATTTTTATTCAGAAACTCAATTGATTTTTGATAATCAGTTGAGAATCCCATTAAGTAGAATAAGTAATTAGAAGATGTCAGCAACAGCAGCCTTCAGGAAGAAATGTATACAAACAATCTCAGTGTGTCAGAATTGAACTGGAATCTGGTCTTTTCTTCCAGACATGAATGACTGTTTCAGATGCTCAGAAGATCACTATGCAAATGAGGACCACACTCAATGCATCCCTAAACTGATAACTTTTCTCTCTTATGAAGAACCTTTAGGAATCGGCTTAGCTTCAGCTGCTCTGGCTTTCTCCCTGACCACGGTCTTTGTGCTTGAAACATTCATTAAGCACAGAGATACTCCGATAGTCAAAGCCAACAACCGAGATCTCTCCTACACTCTCCTTTTCTCCCTTCTGCTCTGTTTCCTCTGCTCTTTGCTCTTTCTTGGTCAACCAAGCAGAGTCACTTGTCTTCTTCGACAGCCCACTTTTGGCATCACTTTCTCAATGGCGATTTCTTGTGTCTTGGCCAAGACCATCACCGTGGTGGTGGCTTTCATGGCTACGAGGCCAGGGTCCAACATGAGGAAGTGGGTGGGGAAAAGATTGGCCAACTCCATCGTGCTCTGCTGTTTCCTCTTTCAAGCAGTTATTTGTGTTGTGTGGATGGCAACCTTTCCTTCATTCCCAGATCTGGACAAACATTCACTCACCAAACATATCATAGCAGAATGCAATGAAGAGCCCATCATCATGTTTTCCCTTGTCTTAGGCTATATGGGGCTTCTGTCCATCATCAGTTTCATGGTGGCCTTCCTAGCCAGGAACCTGCCTGAGAGTTTCAATGAAGCCAAGTTCATCACCTTCAGCATGTTGGTGTTTTGCAGCATTTGGTTAGCTTTTCTTCCAGCCTACCTGAGCACCAAAGGAAAAGACAAGCTAGCCGTGGAGATCTTTTCTATCTTAGCCTCCAGTGCTGGCTTACTCAGTTGTATCTTTGTCCCAAAATGTTATATTATTCTGTTGAAGCCGGAGCTGAATAGCAAAGAACAGTTGACGAAGAGAAAGAATTAAGAAACTGATTGATTCATGAATTACCAGAACTTTGTACTCATTTATCCCCGCTGATGGTTTTAAATGTGCTGTTACAAGGAGCTGGAGAATGTTTGTTTATTTTAAAAGCTGAGGAACATTTGTACATTCCAGATCAGTGGATGTAAATCTCCTTCTGGCAGATCCCAAAACAACACAAAATGTTGCTATGTTTCCATTTTCTTTCTGAAGAACCTGTATTTTACTAAAGGGAAATAATTGTGGCTCTATTACTGCTCATATTGTGTAGAGTAGAGCATTGCAGAGACCATTAGAATGATGTATTTTTCTTATTTCCTTTTACTCTATCTTCCTTTTCCCTTCTGACATATTTTCTAACTATTTTACTGTATTTTTGCTTATTGTTTTTATTTGTATATGTTTTGCAGGCCCATGGTCTGTAAAGTTATTCAGTCATCCAATCAGTGACATACGTTTGTATTGGTATGGGAGCTGGGACTCATAGCATCTGGTGGGCATCAGGTTGAGGACATTTGTTTCTTCCTATAAATGTATTCAACTGATTTTTCTGGACAATGATTATAATAAAGTTTTGATCTGAGCTGATTTGAATGAAGACTCACAGGATATTGGGTATTTGCCATTATTCTCTATGCTTAATGACTTCTACAGAAATACATATTACAGATTGCTAATCTGTAGGTCTAGCATCCTTGTTGTGCTATCTCTTGACATGGTAAAGCACCTGTCACTGTGTTGCTTTAGCTGTGGTGGCTTTAGTTATCAGAAATCAATGCAACCCATTGGAGTCCCCTCCAGAAGGCTTCCTATCCATGAACATCCAGTATTTTTTGTGCCAGCACTCCTGGCTACCAGCCAAGAAGACTCCCAGCTGGATGCTTCCTATAGTCTACCAATATAGAGCTCAGCAGAACAGTAAGTGTCCTTTTACCAGTATCTTCAAATAGGAAGTTAACCCATTCAGTAGGCTTGGGACAGGTTTACATTAGGAATCCAATAAGAAAATGATGATTTCAACTGGAGATATGAAAGATACAGTGGGGTGGAATCCAGAGTTCTAAGCATAGCGTAGCAAGGAGAACATTAGACAGCTGAGGCTTAAAAGAAGTACTCCCAGCATATTCTCCCAAGAACTGAGGCCAGTAAATCAGCAGGGTTGAGTTTCCACCCAATGCAGAGCTGAAGCAAATGTTTCATTACAATTACTCTTCTGCTGACCTCTGATTTAGCAAGCCTCTCCGATCTGCAGAACTCAGCCCTCTGCTGTTGGTTCTTCATCATGTGCCTCTGTTAAGGCCTGGGTCGCTGAACTTCTGAGTCTGAGAGGCTATCACTGAATTGAAGCAAGGAGTCCAGGGGACTTGTTTGATCTCTTTTAACCAGCACTCCTGGAATCTCCTGGTCTTGGAATATTGTCACTTGATGCTCTTGCTTCCACTTGCTCCCTCCCCCCTCCTCATTCATCTGAAGACATGTCCAGCAGGACAATAATCCAATAAGCATTAACTATCAGTCTGGAGACCTCGCGTAAGAGGTGGATGGCTGCTTCTGGTCTTCCAGAAGCCCCTTCCAGATTCCTTGAGACAGTAGTCTAGTTGCACATCTGGAAAATAAGATATGGTGACTTGTCCCTTTCTATTTCACCATAGAAAGATGTGCAGCTTTGGGGGAGCTGAGAACTGTACTGACCTTTGAATAGCACAATGGGTTTTTATTTTATTAGTTTACTTATTTATAATGTTTCTGAACTGTCTCATTGCAGAGGGTGGTTGCACTCCAGAAAGTAGCCAGAACTTGTGCAACAATAACATCAAAGGAACTGGAACATTTAAGTTAAAGGTAACACATTTCATGCGATTGCTCACATGATCCCTCATTTTCTTTCTCATTAAACTTTAGAATTGTACAGCAATTCAGGGGAGGGTTCTAGGAGTTCAATCCAAGGTTTCCAGTTGCCACCTGAAGGTTTATACAGTCTAAAGGAAAACAGAGACTCACATACTTTTGACAGCTGCTAGAAACAATATGAACTAAAACCAACCTCCCATTTTAACTCCCATTTTTGGGGAGAAGGCCTGAAAGTTGTACCAAATGCAAAGAGTGGTATTTGACCAGGAAACTGTCTTTCTATTTCCACACCAGGATAAAAGAGCAATGCATCCACTGGTCTCTCTCTCTCTCTCTCTCTCTCTCTCTCTGTGTGTGTGTGTGTGTGTATGATAGAAGGGCAGATGGTTGACAGCAGTGCTCTCATTCAAGCTCTTCTCCTTTTCCACAGGCATTGTAAGGTTGCATGTATGGCCCATAACTTTCTTCCTTAAGTTGACCAGGAGAGCAATGAATTTGATTTTGGATGGTGTCCATAGTCAAATGCAGTGAATGACCTATCACTGTGTATGGCAATGTCTTGAGCTACCTAGGACTTCTGTTCATCTCTAATGTCATGGTGGGCTTTCTAGTCAGAATGTTGCCAGACACTTTCAGTGAAGTTAATTTAAATCTTTTCAGCATCCTGATGTTTTCCAGTGCTTTGCTGCCTTTTCTTCCCTGTTACCAGACACCAAAGACAAATCCATGATAGCTGTGGAGAACATTTTGGTTTTATTTGGGCCATTCCAAATGTCCACCTGATCACTTCAGACCATCTGTCTGTATCCCAGTGGGGACTGATTATAGCCCCTGATATCCCTCAATATCTGTTTCAAGCTCTTTTATCATCACATAATTATTGTATTTTAAACATGGGTGGACAGTAAGACCTGAGTGAATTACTATCAGTTTAGTGTGTGTGTGTGTGTGTTCCTGTGTGTGTGTATGACTAACCATAAACATTTCAATACATAAATAATTGTTTGGGGATACCTGCCTCCTCTTTTTAACAATCTTTTTAATATGGTCTCAACCTCATCAAGACCAGCCTGTGAGACTCCCTACAAACTTATTTATTTGTTTATTTGTTTAATGCTATTTACTCTTTATGAAGACAAGTTAACTCCATATTCAGAGAAAACAATATTATTAGTTCAATCTGGAAGGGGAATGTGGGTGGGGCTGGTGAGCATGTTTACTGGCAAAGCCATTACTTTGACTTGACCTTGGTTGATGCAGTTATCTTCCCTGTAATTACTGAAACTACCATCATTTATTTTTCTTGGCTCTCTCGAGGTGACTTTTAAAGACCACGATAAAACAATGACTGAATGTGTGTGTGTGGTGGCTTAGGAAACCTTGCACCATTGACAGCTGGAAATTGAAAAGTGGAGTGAAGAGTCCTACTCAGTTAAGATAATCAACCACCTGTCCCCTTTCCTGATTTCCACATTTGTGTCTTGCAAATCTCTGGTGATTTCCCTAGACATGCATTATGCTCCCTGCTGATAAAGAGGGAGATAACAAAGAAGGTGGTTTCCTCTTGATGATCTCTACTTAGAATCAAAGAATGCCAGAGTTGGAAGGAAGTTTAGAAATTACATAATCAAACCCACTTCATACAGCAGGATCCATTGCACTTCTCTGGCAGATCAACATTCATCTTCTGTTTGAAGACCTCCAGCAAAACAGAATTCATTACTTCCTGTGGAAGCTTTTGAAGAATCTAGCACACATTGTATGATGACAGAGATGTGTCTCGAGAGAGGAAAGAATGTCCAAATGGTGCAGCACATGATATTCCTACTTATGTTGCCTCACACAGTGTGCAAAGTAATGGGTAGGACGGAGCCCATCTCTCTTCCACATGAGTCCTATCAGCCTGGAGATTATGTCATTGGTGGGATCACATCCCAGGTTCTTCCTCTTTCTTCCATGAATTCTTTCCAGATTTCTCCTTTAACAGAATATACCCAAAGGTAGGACATTCCTTGTCACTGAATAAGGTCTACTGTTAATAACAATAAATTTTCATGGAAACAAATTAGTGGGAAGTTTTTCTTTTCTTTTTTAAAGTCCCCAGTCCAAGCTATACTTATTGTGTTTCTTGATTGTATCTCATCTGAATAGTAACTACTAATGATCTAAAATTTACCACAATTGTGCCATGACCCTGGGATGAGGTTAGAATTTCAGTAATGTTTGAAATTATTAAATAGCCAATTTAATCAACCTTGAGTCAACTGTGACTTCTGGCAACCTGATTAGTTTGTGGTTCAGCTAGCAACAAGGCAGACATGACTGCCATTTCATTTTTTCTGGGACTTCCCCCCCCCAGTCTGGAGTACAATTCTAGACTACAATTTTCCTGGTGATCTCCTGTGTAATCAATCTGGTTATCCAAAGCTGGCCTCATTTAAAGTCTCCCTCCAGTCCATTTCCTAGCAGCCCAGCCATTAATTGTTATTTTTGGGCACAACTACCAGGCAAGGTTAGCTAGGCTTGGCTGAGAATCATGGTTTCCTTTCAGAATGGGCAGGGTGTTGTAAATAGTAAATGTTGATCCTTTTGGTGTTTTCACATGAAATATGTATGTAGCTCTATTTTCAGAGGGATCACAAAATTTTACCAGCACAATTTAGCCTTGGCATTTGCCATAAATGAGATCAATGGGAATCTGAAGATTTTGTCCAATGTTACCCTTGGATTCTCCATCGTGGACAGCTACTGTCATGAAAACCTGTTCTATCACAGTGTTTTGCAGCTTCTCCTCAAGTCACAGAGATTTGTCCTCAATTACAACTGCAACTCCCAGAAGAATGTGATCGCTGTGATTGCAGGATTAACTTCCGATATCTCCTTCCTGGTGGCAGACATCTTAATGATGTATAAGATTCCACAGGTCAGGCCTCTGTAGGATGGGGGGCCCTTGAGGTGTTTTTGTTTGATATATTTCCCCATTCTTTTCATACGTTATATGTATGGCAGCTCCTAAGTAACGCACAGCTTGCTGGAGTAGGGCTGGTCTATTTCTCGTTCCTGCTCCCATGTTGTTGGACAAGCACTGCCCTCCTCTTATCTGATACCTATTGTGTTCTACCCACGTCAGGTATATCTTTGTACCTGTGTGT